TCGCCTCAGGCAGAAATTTCTAAATTTAATCTCACTCTTCAACGTCGATAACAAATTGACAGCTCGTTTGAATCGAACGGCGAGTGAAGGCACGATGCCAGGTACTGATAAATATCGATACCTTGAAAAATATTGGTTGGTCTTGGTCAGAAGAGGCAACTGTCACTTCTAACATTCGCGTCCACCTCAATCCTGATTTACATCTCCCTCTCTTTCTCTCTCTTTGTCATACAGTCGCCAGTATTTTTCACAAAAATTCCTGCTTTACGGTTCATGGGAAGCACGAGCGCTGCGGGACACCCTGTATACCGTGCGCGAACGAGCCGCCGCGGGGCAGTATCGAAGAGAGCGTGTGGCTTTTTGCCAAAGAAGCCTCGCAGATTGCACACCTGTGCGTGGCCGAGTCGAGGAGAGACCTCACCTATCGAGCAACTGGTCTCCATTGACTTTTTCTTCCTTCGCGCACCCCCCGCGCACGCCTCGGCACGCTTTCGCGCTCTCTCTCTCCCCCTCTTTCTCTCTCTCTCTCTTTCTTTCTCTCCCTCTCCTCCCCTTTCCGCGCTTGTCCGCCACATCGTACCACCCTTCGCGTATTCCACCTTCCTTTATGTAGCGTACGCGTAAGGTGCTTGTCTCTTATGCGTGTCGAGTCGAAACTTGCGCTCCTAGAAGTTGCAGCCTCTGCAAGTTACGAATATTTCCAGTTGCTCGATCTATTCACGATATCGACGATTGAGCATCGTCTGCTCTTTGAGTCTTAATCGAGCTGTTTCTTTTATATCTATCACTCGGAAGCAATGTGTACAGATTCGGGATTTTTATAATAAAAATGTGTGGAATTTTGCGTAATCTTTTGCGTTAACCAGAAATCTTGTTGAAAATTTGAACAGCTTCTGTTTCGTTTAGTTTCGTTTTGGGTTCGTTCATATTTCTAGAAATTGGTTAATCCAATCAAAGAGGAGTGAGAGAAAACGACAGTCTACCACGAGCTCTACGAGAGATTAGAAGTGAAGTTTCCGCTAAAAGTCCGCATCCCCGCAAAGAGAACGACTCCTCGAGCGTGTCGGTCGCGGGAGGCGCTGCCTCGCTTTATTAACCGATGACCGATTCCAACCTGTAAATTACGACGAGCTACGGGGAATCGTTGCGACGCGTTATCGTCCGGCGATACCTTCATAACCGCGGCCGTACGCGCGCTACATCGCCGGTTAAAAAGCGCCATTACTTACACGTCGGGACACGACGGACCCTTACGGAACGGCCGGCAGGTTCTCGCGCCGTCCGCCGGTGCAAAATATAATGTAATCTGCCTGTAAGTAAGTCGAATGTTTCGCCTCGTGAGATCATGCCCGCCCGGGACCCGTGCGTTTACCGTTTTTTTCTTTTTTCTTCTCTCTCTCTCTCTCTCTCTCTCTTTCTTTCTCTCTCTTCTTCTCTTCTCTTTTTACATAAGCCGGCTCAATTACGGCTCGGTCGTGTCAGAGGCGAGCGACGCCTCGCCTCGCCCCTCGCCTCGCGGCGCGCATATATCGGTGTACTTTATGCCTCTGTGTGGTCCGGTTGTCAATGCATCGCGAAATTTAAGATAAGATCACGCGGGCTTAAACCCGGCCGACACGGCCGGGCGCCCGGCCGCGCCATTACCGGAATCGGGGCCAAGCCGAAAGTTAAGTCCCTCGTGTTCCCGAACTTTAAAATGTACCGGTGCAACTGGCTCTAATTTATGGCGCCTTTACGCGTCCCGCGTTTCGGTCCTCCCAGATTTTCTCACACGTGTAAATCCCGGTTGGTTTCCCAGCGGAGGCAAAGCGAGAGAGAGAAAGAGAGAGGAGTCGCGATGAGGATAAAGTCGGGGGAGACTTATGAACGCGCCGAACCTGCACGACCACCGCGTCTTTTTCGCTCTCTCCTCTTCGAGACGAAAGAAACGCGATGGAGAATACGTGTTTACTCGAACAAATCCCACTTGACACTTAATTGACGGGTGTTCGTACGCTGCCACTTTGACCCACGGCGGGCAGCCAAAGGCGCGCACGAATCGAAGCGCGTTCATTGAATTATTTCATCAAATGTAAAATTATGCGCTCTCCTTCTCTCTCTCCGGAATAGATCTCTCTTATGAGTACGAAGCAACGCTCTATATAATAGAGCAATTTGTTTTATATTTCAGAAAGTATCAATTTGTTTATGTATTTTGCGGGACGCGATAACTGCATGTCCTGTCGTTTAACTATAACTCAAGCAAGACATTATTTTACGCGTCCTATCGATTATATAAGTATTGAATTGACGATACGAGCGTGTCACATCAGTCAGTTGGATTAATTTTAACCGTGTCGATTCGATCCATTGATTTTGCGCGGGCCATTCTGATACGCACTATATTCCATTGCAAAGATACGGCTGAACGGCGACGAATCTGCCTCTCGACAGATTTAATTTGAAACGCTAAACACAATCTAAGACGCGCGATGTGGAGGGGCGTAATTCTTGGACGGAAAATCAGTCGGTGTACCACGAAGAACGATTGCTCTTACATTGTGTCACGACATATGATACAAATCAGCTCACATGTATCTAATTTAAAAATTTAACTTGTCGAGTATTCAAAAGAATTGATCGTGTTGACGATACTCTGAAGTTACTATCTGTGGGAGACCACACGGAGATAGTAGTTGCGGCGCAATTGGATCTATTACATGCCCAATGATCTTAGTTAGAAAGTCATTTCTATTACGCGAAGGCTGCTGGGAGGGATGAGTAGCGGATTCCCAAATCCAACAAAATCAATTGAGTCGCAATTAAGAGGATCTAGTGGGGAGGAGAGAATTAAGCAAGGAGAACGGTCCTCGGACCTCTCTTTGAGACAAAGCCGCCGATCGCAGTTCACACCGACCATTCTAAGAAAGTCGATCTCCGAAGAGAAACGAGACAGATCTTGGAACGTGTCCAGTCTGTCGCGGGTGCTCGCCTTTGGGAATCCTTACAGAGAGACGGAGAGAGAGAGAGAGAGAGAGAGAAGAGAAGAGAAAAGAAGAGAGAAAGAATGAGGGGAGGAGGGGGGTGTCTTAACGATCTCGGGATCCGCGGGCGACTTTGGGGGCAAATTATCGGCCTGCGGCCAATTACCAGGTGGAGGCGCCGATATATAGAGAAGAGCGGTTGCGAGAGAGTTCCGAGAATCGTCCGCGGCTAAAAATAAGATCCCACCCGGGAGCGGTGATTATGTTCCGAAAAAAGAAGAACCGGGCGAAACGCTCTCCTCGTGTGCAGGTGGCGGTGGGATGAGCGAGGATGGGATGATGATACGGACGAAGAGAGAGATAAAGAGCGAGAGAGAAAGAGACAGAGACAGAGAGTGAGAGAGAGAGAGAAGAGAGGGTGGTGGAAGGAAAGAGAGGGCGAGAAGAAAGAGAGCGAGAAAGGAAGGCCCCCTCGTGGTGGATCGTGCACTGGGGCCCCCGTTAATGAAGTTGTCGGTTGAGGACGTTTACAGGTGGGGCCTACCTGCGTGTGGTCCATTCACAGCGACTGCTGCAGGACTGGTTAAGAGTTGCTTTACATCTCTACCCGTGTGCAGGTCGGGCCGGTCGTAGCAGAAAGCCGGAGGAAGAGCGGGAGGTGGAGGGGGAGAGAGGGGGGGAAAGAGACAGAGAAAAGGAGAGAGGGAGGGAGGGAGAGAAAGGGAGAAGGTGATAGGGTATATTGGTATATCCAAACGTATGCCCGTCGTTACGTATACAACGAGCGATCTCGCGCTCTCTCGCGGTCCCGCTGACGACTTGCGCGAAGTCAGGTTCCCGGTTTCTCTCGGCCGAGTCGTATTTTTTAAAAGTCGCTTCCCCCCCTCGGACCGTTCCGACCTCGTCGCTCGAGCGCGTGGAAACGGTCTAATTGGGAGAAATAGAATTGACATAAGTAAAAGATAATAAAAGGAAACACGCCCTTTTTTTAATGAGAGGAGTGTCGGCGATTTTCGTCACGTTTATAAAATAGCGTACAGAAGTACAAGTAAATTAATGGATATTTAGTAAGAGCACAGATCCGTCATCCCCGTATAAAAGACCATGTACATTTTTAATACCATTTTTGTACACGGAACAAACAAACGACTACAAAGATACCAATAAAATAATGGAATTGACAACACGTGGAGGTGGTTCTCCTCAATTTTGAGCTTCGGAAATATGGAGCAACTGAAAATAAGAGACACGTGTTTATTTTGCCTGTGCACATTTAAGGGTTGTAACAATAACCCCCTCTCCCCCGGAGAAAATTCAGTAAAGTTAATTGAAATCAATTAAGAATAGATTCATTATTATGTAAAAAAGAACCGAATATTTGGAAAGACGAAATTAATGATTTAGCTAATCTAGTGTGAGAATTTTCCCATAAACGAGGAAACTCGGGGTAAACTCGGGAAATCCCAAGGTGAACGTCACAAAGGACGATGCTCGATCCGCGATTCATTAGCTGTCAATGTTCTGAACTTCCTCAGAACATGGCAAGAGCCTGATTTGGAATTAACTTAGAGTTCCTAGAAGATAATGACTATTTTTCGCGAGTTTTTTTCATATAAATATACGATATAAAATGGTGAAAAAATTACTTGGAACATTTCACTTGATACTCGCACTTCGCCAACTCTCTTAAAGTGAATCAATCATTGATATCAGTTATAAGTATAGCACTTTCAGTGCCATTTTTGGCACTTTCAGCCATTTTTGGGGATGACGTGAGTGAGAGTGAGAGAGCAATTCTAAAACTGAAACGACGAAATACGCTGCAGGTTCTCTCTCACTCGCTTCTACAAATTGCGGAAAATGTCCCAACTCCGACTCGAGTCATCTCCATCGCATAAATATCGCTTTGGCGGGCAAATGACTCTATCCTCTAACGAATCCTAGAACGATCGACCGACAGTCTTAAGAGACGAAATTTCCTATTGGATGAGAAAGGAGAGAATTACGGTCTAATTCTTTTTCCTTTTCTTTTTTCAGATGATTCATCGCCAACAAAGCTCTCAGTCGTCGTCGTCGTCGTCCAACGAGTTCGCCATGTACCCGTCGGCCGCGTATCACTCTTCGCACTCGACGCTACCGTCGTCGACGTCGTTGTCGCCGCTATCGTCGGCGACGTCGTCGTCACCGTCAACGGCGTCGTCCTCGTCGTCGAGATCGTTGTCGGCGTCGTCTACTCCGATTCTGCTGTCTGTCTTCACGTGGTCGCTGACGTTCCTGCTAATATCGTCCTGCATCAACCTGACGGACGCACGCACCCTCAACGGCCATCCCCTGAGCAAAAGATCCTTCTTCGACATCCAATGCAAGGGCGTGTACGACAAGAGCATCTTCGCCCGTTTGGACCGCATTTGCGAAGACTGCTACAACCTCTTCCGAGAGCCGCAGTTGCACATGCTTTGCAAGTAATTATCAACGATGACTCGAGTAGCGATGATACGTTCGGTGTTGCGCGCGCGGACTCGTTTACTTTCGCAGAAAAAGAGTCGGAGTTTGTGCGCGCGCGGTGCCGTTTTTCCGAACCGCTTCGTATATTCAGCATAGATCGAGTCGGGAGGACGAGACACTCGTCGTCGCTCATAATTGTTCCTTTCCGTGATAACGCACGAACGTTCGCGTTCATTTGAAATGACGTAACCGGATGTCGTCCAGTTGAATTAGTAATTTTCACGATGTACCTCAAAACTCATTAAAACGAATAAGACCGGACACGAGTGAACGATCGTTTCCAGCAAGAATCGGGTGATTGATAATGACTCGTCATTATACTTATCCGGCCCGTATACTGAGATCTAAAAATACAACCATATTTATTCGGTTCTAATATCTTCGTTTAATCTCCATTACTTTCACTGATCTTACAAAAAGAAGGGAAGAATTAATTTAGCTATCCCAGAACGCGACACTTCGCTCCGAGATACCTTTTCAAGCTTCATCCGCCGGGAGTTAGAAGGCGCGAAGGCAAAAGAGAGCGGTTGCGTGGAGAGAAAAGTCGCAAACGACTTCCGCCGTGTGATTTTTACCTTCAAAAATGTCGACGGCGCCGACAGTGGTGGCTGGCGGCGGCGGCAGTCTGCTGAACAACGGCCAAGGTGGACGGACGCGCGGATATACCTTTGTACGCGCACACGTGCTCCGATCTCTCGGTGCTGCCACCGCCGCATACACGCGAATATCCCGTGCGCTCGCGCGTTCTCCGCACGTCGGCACGTGTATCGAAATGGAATGAGATTTCTCTTCTATTTATAGCTCGCGCGAGCGAATGCCAACGCACATCCGCCGCTACCTGCCGTTTGTGCCGTGCCGCGTTAAGCCGCTTAACGGCCGTCTCGAAAGAGCCATTGTATTGGCAAACGGGTTCAACGCGAAAAAGGGAGAGAGAGAAGGATTGACGTCTAGCTCGAGAGCACGCCTGCCGTGTGCGCGCCTTAAATTTCGAAAAAATTCACCTGCGCCCTTATGTGGAGAATTCGCGACGTGGTGGAGGGTGGATGCCTCGGCGAATCGTTAGAAGTGGAGTATTTGAGAAATTTATCAAACATATACTTTTCCCTAAATACCCTGAGAGAAAAAAGTATCTAAAAAATGAGAAAATTATTTATTCGGTGGGTACTAGTGATATATTTACTTAAATTTATATTCTTTGATTTAAATAGAAGAAACAGTTGCCTTTATGAAAAAAATGTGCATCTTCTTCTTTGAAAAGTATCTTATATTAGTACAATCAAATATGTTATTAGCACCCGTCGAATAAATATTTTTTTATTTGTTAGATATTTTTCTCTCGATGTAGAAATACTAAGAAGTCGCGCATCCATGTTTGCTGACAATTTTGAACAAATGTACAATAATTTCGGTCATAATTCTGTATGGTCCAAGATGACGAGAATTTTGTAGTCATTTTTACAGTAACATTTTCCCCGTGTACGACATCACGTTGAATTGGTAGCGACGACTTTTTAATTGTTTTCAAAAGAAGGAGATACGATTGTGCCGTTTGATTTAATATAGAAACGGATATGAGTGTAAATGGCGATTGATCGACGCGTCCACCCTATCCGCGAAGGAATTTACTGAATCATAAACGCAGTCTAATCATAGTGTGCGATTGTAGGAAGTAGAATTGTTACGTGACGAGAGTGTTTGCGATCATTTTTGACGCATTCTTCGGGATTTCCAGGGCTCACGAGCCGCCGGCGAGGTCAATGGCGTTGACTCACGATTCACCATATTCTTTTCCAAATGTTTGCAGGAAGAATTGTTTCACGACGGACTACTTTAAAGGATGCCTAGATGTGCTGCTGCTATCGGACGAGGTGGAGAAAATCCAAATGTGGATCAAACAACTCCACGGAGCCGATCCTGGGGTTTAGGTAGCTTGTTTGTTTTTAGTTTATGATTTCTCCTTATGCGCCTTCCTTTTCTTTTCTCCGCTTTTCGTGTATAACGAACTAACCGTGCCCGCTTGCCCTCCGTTATCCTTCCTCGTCTATTCTCTCCTTGTCCCGACACGTTTGAGAATACGCGAATGTTTGGAAATCACGTAGACGTCCGCGAAAAGATAGTATTTATCAAAGAGAAGTGACTTTCGGGAGAATTTTGAATAACAGAATTTTAATTACGCGAGACACGTGCGTAAAGATTATGTGTACTACGGCGGTGCTTTCAGTCAAAAGTTTTGGATCGATAATAAGCGATAAGAGATCGGTAAGAGCGCGACGGTCCGATTTCGACATGACAGAAAGAACGCAAGGGAAACGCCAATACCTCACTTGCCGATTTCAAGTGTATAAACGCACCAAATTTGACCGCATTATCGGCTGCAATTCGCGAGTAAGTTTGAACTTGTCCGAAAATCGGCTTCACGAGTTGACGCGCGGACTTCCGCTTTGTACCTTGTCTTGATTTTGCCATCACTTTAAATTACGTTTACGTTGCATTTGGATGCCACCACTTGGACGAATATAACCGCGTGTATTATAGATCTCCTCACATCGGCATAATGAGTACGAGAGATTAGGTAATTCTGCGCATGCTTATACCAACGAGTGATGCTGCAACAGAAAGCAAACAGATTGCAAGGAGCGTTCGATGGAGCGCGAATTGGAATTTGTCGCGGTTGAAGAGACGAGCGAAGAGCTCGTCGATTTCAGCGAGTGCGGGCACACAATTGCGCGAGACGCGTATCTTGAGAAGAATCACGTACGAACGTTCACAAACGTATGATTATCGCTCGCATTTGACTTGAGAAAAGTGCAGCATTGCTCTGACGACGTGACACACGCATCATCTCGTACATACATCTGGCACATCCGATACCTCAAAATTCGTACTCGCGTGTACCTAATCCCTCGTGTTTACGGCTGTTTTTTCCGCCTATTTTTCGACACACTCTATACGAGTGTTTTTGAGGCGAGTGTTTTTGCCCGACATTTTTTGCAGCGCTGTTTTCTACAGAATGGCGAACGGTGAAAGAGGGCGCAGAACGACGCAGGGCTATGTCTTTTTTAGGTGGCGGCGCCTGCGATTTTGGGATTTTTGATATTTTTGCAATTTCTCGTATTTTTGAGCGGTTTTCCAAGTAAACAAAATGTTTCACGCACTCTGCATATGCTAGTCTATGAATTTTTGCCAATGCGATGTAGAGTGCGATAGAGTCGGTACCTTTCCACACGTATTCTCATCTAACGTACTAACAATTGCTGATCATTCACAGATCTGTTCGTCCCTCGCCAAAATTTACCTACATATCGATACGGAGCACAATATCGTACATATGTATATAATTATCAAATGTTTGAACATCTGATCTATACGAGAGATAAAATTGTCAAATTTTGTCAAGTCTTTGATTCTAAAGCTCTTGAAATTTTTGAAAATGAAATTTTTGAATAGCAACGACGCGTAATCGAGCTGTATCTAAATTCACTATCCAGCTTAATACAGTTCACTTGTCATAAATCCACATTAAAAGAATAGTCTATTCGGCGTAATTGTCCATTGCTCAAGATTAGTAAGACGTTGTTTTCCACTACGTTCCTCCACTTGCAAATTACAACTGACAAGCGCGTGTAAGAACGACTCCGCTGGTGCTTGTCGACTCGCGAGAAATCGGAACTCGATCTCACGCGGTTGTAAACCTATCGGAATAATGCCGACGAGCAGGTCTCGTGAATACACATAAAATCACCGACACCGAGTGTCAGTGGCCACTACTAACTACTGTTGCTGCGTAGTAACCGTCTAACCGATCGATCTTTCTGTTCTCGATCTGTTGCCGCACCACAGGCAAGACTGCTTCAGCACAGCATACTTTACGAGCTGCATGCAAGTGCTGCTGCTTGAGGACGAGAAGGACAGACTCCAGGAGATGGTCGAGTACCTAGGTCGCAAGTAAACGGAATACAAGTCGGAGCAACGACGCGCCGCACCACGAAGGGATGAGAGAAAGAGAGAGAGAGAGAGAGAGAGAAACCACGCACACCCGTAAATAAATACCTACACACACGCACACATATACGCACGTACACAACACACATGCACACGGTGCACACTGCACGGACATATGCGAAGAGGTCGACGAAGAACGCTTGGTCTCCTTGTCTTCGAGGAGGAGCGACAAGTGACGAGATTCCGAAGAGCTCCAGCTGCAAAAGTCATGGACGCGGAGTGATCACCGACGCGAAGCCGCCGTCTCGATACGACGATCAGCCGGCGTGATAGTGACGCAAGGTGTCAGCTGCAACGTTCATCGCGTGGTCGAGGATAGGCCGATGAAGAAGACCGAAGAGGAACGCGCATACACCGGTCGCGTTCGCGAAACGTACGGTTGTCCGTCGCGTGGTCCGAGCGTCGCTTAGCTTACTCTAGGGTGTATTATCGTGGACGTCTCGGTATTACCACCGACAGGTATCGGCGGCGCGATGAGAGAGTATGAATGGAGGACGACGGAATGTTTGAGGCAAAGATACAGAAGGAAAGCAAGAGAGATAAAGAAAGAGAGAGAGAGAGAGAGAGGCGCCAGTCTTTCGCGGTGAGTCGCGTCGTTATCTGACACGCACGGTGAAGAACGAAGCGCAAAACAATAGCACACTAAATAACGAGACACGAGACACAAGCAAAACGATGCGGATCGAGCCATACACACGAACGCGTATACACAGCAAAAATCCATACGAATTCTAGTCGATAAAATATCCGCGCTCTTGCGCGCTACGCCACGTTTTTATTCGATTAATCATTATTATAATTATTATAATTATTATAATTATTATAATTATTAACGTTAATCGTCGTCACTCATTATTATGTAATAGTAATGGTAATCTATATTATTATTATTAATATTATTCGATTACTATATATATATATGTGTATATATATAATATATACATGTATGTATGTAATGGCACGGTTATTTTTTATTATTATTATCGCTGTTCTCATCTGTTCTCATCTGTTTATTATTTAGTTGATGATTGAACCCTCGGTCGTTTATCGTATCCGAATAATTGCGCGCGATAGACGAGTGAGGCCACACTGATAGTCTGCGAAATTGTGCAAAACCTTCACTATACTACGTCACGTAACGTCGCGAGGAAAGTAATTGCGAAGTAACGGACGCGTACTCGTGAATCCTGACGAATATTCGAGAGACGAGATCTCCCTTTTCTTTCGGCTAAATGCTTCTTCTCTCGAGCGAGCGTCATCGGAGATATCAGATCAAAAATCCATCGGTCACTCGAGAATCCCGACCGCATTATATATATATATATATATATATATATATGTATATATATATATATATATATATATAATTATTATTAATATTATTATTCTCATAGCAGAATTATTGTTGTTATCATTGCGACATATGGCGACGCCTCCGCCCGGGTGATCGCACCGCACGCTGGAAGAGACACGCTGGCAATGCGAGCGATACACACGACGTTCAATTGTGAGAATCGAATATATTAGTAATGCCGGCACGCGTGAGCATTCTCGAAAGCGAAGTCGTCGAGGAGTAAGAGAGAGAAAGAGAGAGAGAGAGAGAGGGGTAGAGAAATAAGAAAAAAAAACGAAGGAACGAGACCTTCTTGTAATTTATTTGCCGGACACACGGGCAACGTCCGTGAGCTTTTCACACGTGTGTATTTTTCTTCGTGCAGTCGGCGTCTCGCTCGAACGGAGTCGGTCGTGCATATAAAGACGCGTAGTATTTATTTATTTTTTCACGTTCTTAAGTTATAAGCAACATATAGCGAAGCAAAGTATTAGCGCGCGTACCTAACCGAGAGAGAGAGAGGGGAAGAGCGAAAGCAAGAGAGAGAGAGAGAGAGAGAGAGAGAGAGAGAGAGAGAGAGAGAGAGAGAGAGAGAGAGA